CAGACCAAATACATTTTTAATATTTTTTAAAACTATAAATAGCTTTGAAATAGTAAACAAAACGCACCTTTATGCCTCCAATTATATTAATTATATTTTCTTAATTTGTGTGAAAATGGAATATGAAAAGTAGTGAAATAATAAATGAAAGCATTAAAGCATTAGTTGGAATGGATTATAGAAAGCTGTAAAATAATAAAAACATTAAAATTTCAGTCTATATATTACATGCAGTTTCTTCCCGGACACATAGCATTATCCAATCAAATAATGACAACTCCTTTCCATAAGCTTTCGAAAGTGAGCCAATCAGAAAGCACAACTGCGGTCCTTCCTACACACGACTCCACCGAATAAATACCCATATTGTAAGCGTTAAAACTTACTGTTCGCACACTGACACAGACACACACCCCCGTTCTCACGTCTTCTGCGTTTTGCCACCCTCTACAGGCAATTGCCTCGCACTGTAATGTGTGTAATTTTGAATACATATACATAAACACACACACACACACATGCATTCATAAAGTTATGTTTATTTCATCGTGACGCCTGACTGCCGTCAACCGGAAGTTTTTACTGGTAATTTTATCTCTTTCTCGTTCAGAATTTTGCCATTTTTCTCGATTTTAATGGAGTCTCAGTGAGAGGGGTTTATCTGATTTTAAATTTTTTCATGGGTTTTTTCGCACTCGTTATACTTTTTTTTTTTTTTTAATGTTATTCATGAATTTTGTTTCTCGTTGATTATTGCTGAGTTCTTTTTTTTTTTTTTACCCATTCTAAAATGTGAAGTTGGATTAGATTTTCGATGCTTTGCTTGAAACAGAAGGTTTTTAAGTTAATGATTAAGAATGGGTTTTGGAGAAATGATAGTAATAAAGGAAAAATATTGAATTAAAAGCAATTAAAATCAAATTGCAGTTGCAGTTTTTTTATTCATCTTTTATAACTAATGAATTTACATAGAGATCTATTTGGTATCATGTTGCACTACCTGACAATGAATATTATTTTTAGAAAATCTACATGTAACCTGATTAGCAGTCAACAGTTCCAATACTATTAACAGCCTGTTTGGCAGTGATTTTTTTAACAGTTATTTCACTATTTCAACCACATATTTGATTTCTTCTCTCACAGATGGACCTCACTTTTCTCTTAACGGTCAAAAAATTAATTCTCAAAATCACTCCCAAACAGACTGTATTTGTATTTTCATTAGCGAGTGGATTGTAGTGTATTGCACACTAAGAACATTTTCAAGAGATTCTCTATTTGTAAAGAGCATATTCTGTCATTTGGAAGATATCTATAAATTTAGAGAATTAAAATTTTTTTGAACTCCAACAAGCTCTTTATGCTTCCGTTTGGACCCCATTCTCATTCTTTTCCTCTCTCTTATTTTCAACCACATAATTATCCATAAAATAATATTACACGCAAACCAAAGTCTTTTCATTCCTTTTCGACCACATATTTTTCAAAACAATACTATTCCAATCATTAAAATTTGGAAAGAATGGGGGCTAAACGGGGGCATATTAATTTTACTACTTCCAAAAAATATTTATTATTTTTCTCTGTTTTTTATTTTAACTAACTTTTCTTTAGATTATTTTATTATTTTTCTACACTGAAAATTGAAACACTTTGAATGTATTTAATTATAGAGAATGAGTTTGACTTTCCAATTAAAATGTTAATTTAAATAATCTCTTAGAAAAATAATTTTAAAAGTTGACTCTTTAAAATACAGAGTATCTCATATTTAAAGAATTTCTTGGAGAGGCTATAGTAGAAATAGTTTACTTATCTATTATGCATATGTAAGTTGCAACTAAAAGAATGATAAAAAATTCAAAATCCCTATCTTGTTAAAAAGATGCTAAGCATTTGTTTGACGCACTTTTTTGGCATTTTAAAGAGTTTCAAATTTTTTCAACATTGTTATATTAATAAATAATTACCTACCATCTGACAATTCGTAACTTTTGGCTCAAAAGTAAGACCCGTTGGAAACTAATTTTTCATTCATGGCCTGGCAAATTACAAGATTGCCCTCGTAAGATTGTTATTTGTACAAATGCATTTGAGGGTAGATTGGGAAAAAAATATTGCCTTGAAGTACAACTTATCATTCAATAATAAAACTACGAGGGTTTGTTGAAAAATGAATTTTAGAATAGTAGATTGATGGAAAATATTTTTGATTTATGTGTAATATTATTTTCATGAAAAATGTGTAGTTAAAAAAAAGAGGAAGGAAAATGCATTTTGATAAGAATGAGAATCAAATGGGGCCTATATATTTCACTCTTCAAGGGCCCATTATATTGTTGAAAACAATTTTTTCTATCCAAAATCATGGGCATCAAACAGACTCTAACTTTAATCTTGACTTGGTATCTGTGCACAGTCCAATAAAAAATATAACAAGCTGATCTTTTTTCTCAGCCTTGTTTGAGCTACGTTCTTTGAAAAAATACATTTTTAAACAATGATTTAACATTATTTAATCACACATTCTTCAATAAAATAATATTACACATAAATCCAAAAAAATTTCTTATTTTTTTAGCCAAATATTCTCTATCAATCTACTATTCGAAAATACATTATTTCAAAATAATGTGGCTCAAACACAATATATTTAATGCAGCCTCAGCAAAAAGATTTAATGATAAGATCATTTGCTACCATGTTACTATTTGGTCTACATCTTTTTGCATTGCTCTTATGCATATGAGCTTCTTCAGACTAAGGTAAGATATACCGCAACTATCTAAGGTGTATTTTCCTAAAATAAACGTTAGCTGATGCCACTTTAATTTGTTTATCGTATATCCTCATTTCTTATTTTATTTGTATAAGATGACCACAAATCCATCTTAAAATACTCGTTTATGCGACTGTCAGTCATGAACATTTTATCCTTTGAACGTGTATTTTGTGTATCTATATCTCTACCTATTTTGTCTTTTTGGACCAACACCAAAACCTTGTACGTTGAACAGAAGTTTGTTGGTTTAGCATAATCTTCTCATGTGCATGTTTAATCTCAGTCTGTATGTAGTTTTTTTGCTTCATGCTTTCTTCGGGTCACTAAATGACCATATCTCTAATAGGCCTGCTTAATGGAAATGACATAAATACATATGATGTTTTCTTTCTTTCTTTTTCTTTTTCTTTTTTTTTTTTTTTGGTCCCTTTTTGTTCACGATTCTAATTAAATGGCATCAGTGTATCTTGTCTAAGATTTTAATCATAGTAATATTTTCTCACTGGGATTACATATTTTTAATAAATGCTTTGTTGTTTGTTGAAAAACGTAAAGCTGTGGATATGGATTTCATGGTTGGCAAGATTTGATTCAATACTAATTTATATAGCATATATGCTTGTGATCCATTCGGTTTCTTTGTTTAAGTGATGGTTATTTTATGTACATTTTGTCCTTTAACTGAGACACATGGTAACATATAGTATTGGGCCAAATATCTAATAGGCCAGCTTAATTGGATATAAAATAAATACATTTGAAATTTATTTTCTTTTATCCTTTTTTAAATGGGATTCTTATTAAACGGCGTAAGAGGATCTTCTCCTATGATCCACCGACACGGAACGCGTGTGTCTAACATATTGACAAGCTATTTTTGAAAAATATTGATGGGACATGTCATTGACAGGATAATTAAATTCTTTAAAGTTCATTTATGTAGTATAAATTTAGTTTCATACTTGTTATTAATTTTCTTGTTAAAATCTTTTAAATAAGAATACCCTATTTGTTATTTAATAATCACTTTGAGTTAAAAATATATAATATTTCTTATAAAAAAGAAAAATAAAAATGATTATGATAGAGTGTCCGATGAGTTTCGGTAACAGACAGGCGTCGGACACAAATACATCACTCTAGTTGAAGTATTCGTGCAACACAAATCTTGTATACATTTTAATAAATTTTTTTAACAGTTATGCAGTGTGATTACATATTTTTGACGAATGCTCCTTTGATTCAGTGAAAAGCTGTGGATGCTTCATGGTTGGCAAGGTTTGCTTAAGTACTAATCTATATAGCATTTATTCTTGTGGTCCATATGGATGTTCTTTGTAGCTGCATTGTGCATTGTTTGTGTAGCATAGGATGTTTGTGTATTCTCTGAATCTTGTAGTACATTGTGTCAAGATAGTTGGGTTTCTAGAAAAATATAATGTAATAAGATAAAATTGAGTTTGATTTGTCGAACTGTTAGATTTTGTGGCATTTTAGTGGTATTCTTTTAGCACAGAGAAAGGCACCTTTCTTGCATTCCTGGAGAATGATAGTTTTTAGCAATAAAACTGATACGTACTTCTTTCCTTATTTATTTTATTTTTTTTATATTTGCCATAATATATTCACCATTTTTTCTCAAGTTATTTTATATAATAGTACTTCTGATTCCATTTTTTGCAACCTTTAGTTCTACCCTCTATCTCACTAGTGTGATAAACTATAACTTCCAATTGGAAGAGCTGGACCTCTGAATTAGCTGCTGAGTTATCATCCAATTTCTGAATATCTGATGGCACCGAATCCAAGGGTTTTAAAGGCCTTCAGTGCGATGAACAAGTTGGGCATTGCTACAGAAAGAGTGAGACCGGTCCTTAAGAAACTTCTGTTATTGTACGATGAAAACTGGGAACTTATTGAGGAAGGAAATTATCGTGCTCTTGCTGATGCTATATTCGATGATGCAGATGATAAGGTTCTTATTATTAGATGCTTTCGAACTTTTTCTTTACATGTATGTGTAGCATTTATGTTTCTCTGCGGATACCCTCTAGGCGACATGGTATGTAGTATGTACCTAGTGAACACTTATCAGTAATTTACAAAACAAATGTAACTATTAATAAACTGTTTGAAAATCCTAGAAATTGCTATGCAAGTTGCAACTTCTGATTCTATGCACATCTTTGTTTAGAAGACTTCTTTCTTTTATGATCCATTAATTCTTTTTCTGCTCATTTTTAGCTCATGTTTTTGGTGAATCTATGTACTCATCAATCAATTTTCTCAGACATGGAAGAATCCTGCTGCTTTTACCTCTTTAAGTCAGAAGCTCTCGCTTCTCTGCCCTTGGGCTTGAAAATAAAATCAACCCAATTTAATTTGACAGTACTTTCAGTCTTGTAAATTGTAGTAATTTTAAGCCCTTGTTTGAGCCCCATTTTATATAACTCATTTTTCCCTGAATTCATTTTCAATCATACATTCTCCCAGTAAAATAATTTTACACTTAATCCAAAACTTTTCCCACATTTATCTACACAATCTCAAAAAATCACTTTCTACAAAATCTACTCTCAAAAAATGGGGCTCAAACAGTGGCTTATTAAATGTCTTGAAACACTTTAATCTCCTTTTCAACCATATATTCAGCTTGATGCATCATACTTAGAAGAAGAAAGAAGAGAAAAGGAGAAAGAGAGTAATCACCGTGGTTTTTGCAATAACTGTAAAATAAAAACTTTTGTCCTATCATATGCTAATTGCTAACAAGATTGTGTTATTGATGAATTGTGTTAGCTAACAAGTGAGAAAAATGGAGATCCTGAACCTCCATCTGAGAAACCTCATGAAAGATGGTCAAAATTAACATCTTCCAAGGACAATGGCATTAAAAATTTAGAACTAGAAGCGGATAAAATCCCACAAAGTTCTAACAGAACTAGATTACTCAATGTTCATCGGGCACCAGTTCAGAATGAAGGTAAGTATTCTGTTCAATTCGTCCTATCTCCAGTAGAGAAAATTTCCAGTACGCAAGGAGCATCAGATGTGCAGTACACTAACCGTGTATCACGTGACCCTGGTTTAGGTTTTCCTAAAAGAGAAACAATTCGTGATTGCAACTTTGATAATGTAAGCAACACTAGTAAGAAGCAGCGAATTAATTGCTCTCCTCAATTTTCTCTGCCTGCTTCAAATGTTGGTCCAGGTATGCTTGCATGTCCAACTGACTGGAATAATAAGGTCTCTTTCCCTCTCAAGTGTACTTTACATTGCAGAAATTTTGTGGAAATATATTGGATTGACCACTTGCCTTTTCAAAGCAGCAGTTCATTAATTTTTTGTTTTTTTTTTTTAAATTTTCTGCTGCTATATTTGTTCATTTGATGGATGCATGGTGCAATTAACGAATAATTTAATAAATTTTTTTAACAGTTATGCAGTGTGATTACATATTTTTGACGAATGCTCCTTTGATTCAGTGAAAAGATGTGGATGCTTCATGGTTGGCAAGGTTTGCTTAAGTACTAATCTATATAGCATTTATTCTTGTGGTCCATATGGATGGTTCTTTGTAGCTGCATTGTGCATTGTTTGTGTAGCATAGGATGTTTGTGTATTCTCTGAATCTTGTAGTACATTGTGTCAAGATAGTTGGGTTTCTAGAAAAATATAATGTAATAAGATAAATTTGAGTTTGATTTGTCGAACTGTTAGATTTTGTGGCATTTTAGTGGTATTCTTTTAGCACAGAGAAAGGCACCTTTCTTGCATTCCTGGAGAATGATAGTTTTTAGCAATAAAACTGATACGTACTTCTTTCCTTATTTATTTTATTTTTTTTATATTTGCCATAATATATTCACCATTTTTTCTCAAGTTATTTTATATAATAGTACTTCTGATTCCATTTTTTGCAACCTTTAGTTCTACCCTCTATCTCTCTAGTGTGATAAACTATAACTTCCAATTGGAAGAGCTGGACCTCTGAATTAGCTACTGAGTTATCATCCAATTTCTGGATATCTGATGGCACCGAATCCAAGGGTTTTAAAGGCCTTCAGTGCGATGAACAAGTTGGGCATTGCTACAGAAAGAGTGAGACCGGTCCTTAAGAAACTTCTGTTATTGTACGATGAAAACTGGGAACTTATTGAGGAAGGAAATTATCGTGCTCTTGCTGATGCTATATTCGATGATGCAGATGATAAGGTTCTTATTATTAGATGCTTTCGAACTTTTTCTTTACATGTATGTGTAGCATTTATGTTTCTCTGCAGATACCCTCTAGGCAACATGGTATGTAGTATGTACCTAGTGAACACTTATCACTAATTTACAAAACAAATGTAACTGTTAATAAACTGTTTGAAAATCCTAGAAATTGCTATGCAAGTTGCAACTTCTGATTCTATGCACATCTTTGTTTAGAAGACTTCTTTCTTTTATGATCCATTAATTCTTTTTCTGCTCATTTTTAGCTCATGTTTTTGGTGAATCTATGTACTCATCAATCAATTTTCTCAGACATGGAAGAATCCTGCTGCTTTTACCTCTTTAAGTCAGAAGCTCTCGCTTCTCTGCCCTTGGGCTTGAAAATAAAATCAACCCAATTTAATTTGACAGTACTTTCAGTCTTGTAAATTGTAGTAATTTTAAGCCCTTGTTTGAGCCCTTTTTTATATAACTCATTTTTCCCTGAATTCATTTTCAATCATACATTCTCCCAGTAAAATAATTTACACTTAATTCAAAACTTTTCCCACATTTATCTACACAATCTCAAAAAATCACTTTCTACAAAATCTACTCTCAAAAAATGGGGCTCAAACAGTGGCTTATTAAATGTCTTGAAACACTTTAATCTCCTTTTCAACCATATATTCAGCTTGATACATCATACTTAGAAGAAGAAAGAAGAGAAAAGGAGAAAGAGAGTAATAACCGTAGTTTTTGTAATAACTGTAAAATAAAAACTTTTGTACTGTCATATGCTAATTGCTAACAAGATTGTGTTATTGATGAATTGTGTTAGCTAACAAGTGAGAAAAATGGAGATCCTGAACCTCCATCTGAGAAACCACGTGAAAGATGGTCAAAATTAACATCCACCAAGGACAATGGCATTAAAAATTTAGAACTAGAAGCGGATAAAATCCCACAAAGTTCTAACAGAACTAGATTACTCAATGTTCATCGGGCACCAGTTCAGAATGAAGGTAAGTATTCTGTTCAATTCGTCCTATCTCCAGTAGAGAAAATTTCCAGTACGCAAGGAGCATCAGATGTGCAGTACACTAACCGTGTATCACGTGACCCTGGTTTAGGTTTTCCTAAAAGAGAAACAATTCGTGATTGCAACTTTGATAATGTAAGCAACACTAGTAAGAAGCAGCGAATTAATTGCTCTCCTCAATTTTCTCTGCCTGCTTCAAATGTTGGTCCAGGTATGCTTGCATGTCCAACTGACTGGAATAATAAGGTCTCTTTCCCTCTCAAGTGTACTTTACATTGCAGAAATTTTGTGGAAATATATTGGATTGACCACTTGCCTTTTCAAAGCAGCAGTTCATTAATTTTTTGTTTTTTTTTTTTCAATTTTCTGCTGCTATATTATGTCATTTGATGGATGCATGGTGCTAATTAACGAATAACATATATGTTATGCCTATCCAGTCTCTTTCAATTGAACATTGTGAATGAAACTGTCTTTTAATGCTGCTGATTATAATGGGAAGCTGGGTTTTTAGTTACTTTTTACTATACTAGGTTAGATACAAAATGGAAAATGCATCATAATTCTTATTATGTGCTTTCCTATCATAGGAAGAATTCAAAAGAATTTAAGCCAGATCTAATTAGAGAAGAAAAATATCTTTTTGTACTAGTCTTTTCCTGTACAAGAGTTGAAAGGATAAGGATCAAAAGTTCATCTCACCATACAAGAATCCTGGAACGTAACAATAAATAGTATTAATCAATTTTATCAAGAATGTATTTTACTGCAATCATAATATCATAATTAATCTTCTTTGATCTTGAATCTAATGAGTGTTAACTCTTTCAGGTTCGGTGGAAACATTTCTGCTTCGGGATAAGACAAAGAAAAATGAAGGTTCAGGTTCAGCACATGATTATAGTACAATCTTCCAAACGATTCATGATATAGCTTCATCAACTTGTGGAAGAGTGATAGTATCTTTAAAATGTCATCGCACACTATTGCAACAGAATTTTCACATTTCAAATTTTGATGATGTTCTAAAATTTATGGAAACAAAATATCCGAGATCAGACAACTGTTTTGGGCCCCAATTTTCCCTGGTGAAGTATTTGAAGAAATTATGTGAGGGTTATGTAGAATTCGGAGCTATTTTGGCCGACAAATCTCTATCATGCAATTTACCTTACCATGACATTCGCCAAACCTCCGCCCCCAAGAGAGATGATCTCAGAATAGATTATCCATCAACAAATATGGACAAAAAGGTTGTAAACTATTCTGGATCATCAGATTCAGTTGCTCTAGTGGTTGCTCAACGACAGCCCATGAACAAAATTAATGGAAAACGGGTTGCATGTAGTAGAATCAGCGATATAACAAATGGAACTGAAAAAGTGACTATATCACTACTGCATGAAATAGGTGGCGAGGATCTACCGAAGTTTAACTATATCCCAGAAAATATAATCTATCAATCTGCATACGTGCATATCTCATTGGCTAGAATTGCGGATGAGGATTGCTGCTCAAGTTGTACTGGGGACTGTCTTTCTTCCTCAGTTCCTTGTGCTTGTGCTCGTGATACAAGAGGAGAATTTGCTTATACTCCAAAAGGGCTATTAACTGAAGAATTTTTAAGATCTTGTATTTCCATGAAACTGAAACCTCAAGAGCACTATCAATTCTTCTGCCAGGATTGTCCTTTGGAGAGGGCCAAGAATGCATATAGTCCTGAAAAATGCAAGGGCCATCTAGAAAAGAAATTCATCAAAGAATGCTGGAGGAAATGTGGCTGCAACATGAAATGTGGAAATCGAGTTGTTCAGCGAGGTATAACAAGGAAATTACAGGTTAGTGCGAGTTTACTGAAAATTTTCAGATTTCCTCATGTCAGTAGAGGTCTTTATTAGAACCCACAGGAAGTTTATGTAACTCCTGCTGCAACTCATTCTGTCATGATGCTTCAGGATAATAGTGAATCTCTATTAATTTTAGGACTATGCCATTTGTACACCCTTTTTGCCCCCCTTGTTGACACCTGCGGTGTTGTCGAAAAATCCTTGGCTGCCAAAACTGTTTTTCATTTAAACTGTCCAATGAAAGAATGCGATGTGGAATTGTGTAAACTAAGGTGTAAAAGGAGATGTACACCAAACATGATTGTTAATTTTACCTCATGTTGTAGGTTTTCGTGACCAACAAGAGTAAAGGCTGGGGTCTTCGAACACTTGAAAAGTTACCAAAAGGTGCCTTTGTTTGTGAATATGCCGGTGAAGTTTTGACAAACATGGAATTATATGAAAGGAATAATAGTAGCACTGGAAAATACAGGCATACATATCCAGTGCTACTTGATTCAGATTGGTGTTCAGAAAAAATTTTGAACGATGAAGATGCACTATGCTTGGATGCAACATACTATGGAAATGTCTCAAGATTTATAAATCATCGGTGAGTTCTTTATATATATCTCTTGTTTCCTAGAATTAAATATTTAACTGCTTTTTTCCAAATGCTAGTAAACTACTTCAAACTTCCTTTCCACTGAGACATCATCATTAACCTTAGACTAGAATCTAACAAAATTTGTCACCTACCTATAAGTTAAATTATCAGGTTACAAGATACTAAGGGTATGCTTATCAGAAAGAAGGCACTACTGCCTTGCCATACCTCACAGGTCTTCTGTTGAATGTATTGAGTTAATTAGACTGCACTTCTCCTCTCAACAGCAGATCGTATTTCCTCTCTATATAAATGAGGATACTGGGGGCTGGCAGTTTTTTCTCTAGAAAAAAAACAGAGGCATGAGTCAGAACTGGCTATAATCTTCTTCGTTATAGTGACAATGACATGTTTGAAATACTTACATAGGGACCATTTTGAAATTCTTTATTTTCTTATGCTTCTTTGCATACATATTCTTGTACATCCTTTTTAAAGTTCCTCTTTTGCTTGATACATTACCCTTTTGTCAACACAAAATGCTGTAGCATCTGTTATAGCTGAAAAATTTTGTAAGTGAACATTTTCATTTCTTGAAAAAATTCTTTGCATTACTAATTTATCATTTATTACTCTTTTTACATCTAGAGATAACAATATCATGTTTCAAAACAATCTTCCCTTCTTGGTTTGGTTTGAATCTAAAATTTTCTAAGCTTTCAAAGTATTTAGATTAATTCCTTGTTTCAAATTGTTGAGTGCCATTTCTTAACTTAATTATGTTAAATTTAATATTGTTAGTTGTTACACTGATATTTATATCCTTTTGCATTTGCTTTTCTCCTTGCTGCCAGGTGCTTTGATTCAAACTTGCTCGAGGTCCCAGTCCAGGTGGAAACTCCTGATCGCCACTATTATCATGTACAACTAACTCATTTCATTGACTTTTCACCATATTGCATTGCCTTCTTAAGTAATAATTTCAGTTTAAGAGAGAGAATCTAAAAGTTTCTGTCCTTGTGCAGATTGCTTTCTTCACTAAAAGAGAAGTTAATGCTTACGAGGAGCTTACTTGGGTAAGTGGTTTTAAAACGTTCCTACTCCAAAATTTCATTTTTGCAGTCAAGATGGTTTATAAGTTATAATATGGGCGCTTATAGGGAGGATTGAGAATATTAATTAAAGAACAAGGTGTGAAAATCTTATTCACTGGTAAAAATATCAATCCCTCATATTTTTTTGTCAATATTAATTCTTCTATTATGCATGTTTTTTGAGCTACACTAGATGACCTTTAAATTTACCATATACTCAACTACCTATGCATCTCACTTTATTAAGGGCATGTCTATTTCACACTACCGTACTGCGCAATACAATTGACAAGATTTTAACTTATTTTCTTCTTTAATCCTATCCAGTGTGGTACAACCCAACATACCAAATATGTCATTAGTGTTTATTAGTTCATTATATGCTTAACCATGGTATCATAATTTATTCAACTTCTGTGTCCGTTTTGTCTTCTTTGATGAGGAATATGAGCGACTCTTTCTGCCTTGTCAAGACAAGAAATTGTTTTCCCTTTTGTAATATGAACTCTACATGAAGGATTGTAAAAATATAGTTTACCATGTTACTGCTGTGGTTATTTCATGTAATCCCAAAAAAATAAAAATAAATAAAATCCATTAGTCTTCCATTTTGTGACATGTTGGGATATGTTGTCACAATAATCATGCCCAGTTGATATTATTTATAATCTGTTGAAAGGCATTAGAAGTTGAAGTGCTGAAAGTTCAACGCTTTTAACTCCATCATGTGATCTAATTTCCAGGATTACGGGATCGACTTCGAGGATTATAACCATCCTATTAAAGCATTTCAGTGTAGCTGTGGAAGTGAATACTGCAGGGACAATGGGAAAAAAATAGTAACCTCTACGTTCTAAAACAGTTCTTTCTGGTTTGTTCCTTTACAGAAAATTTTCAGGAATGATCAATGGATTGAAGGGACAACTGGTAGTGGACTCACAGAGCAGAAAATCGATACAGCATTACCTCAGCATGTTGGACACAGACAACCTAAGTGGCTTGCTGCGGTTGTTAAGGATCTAGTTGCTTTAAATCTTCAAATAATTGTGGCAATGAAATGGAGAGAGTGATGAAAAACCGGTTCAAATATATTAAGTACAAAACTTTGCTGGTGTTTCTTTGTAACTGGATAATTCGTGTGGATTGTATTAGTTGTTTTGAGCCTTCCAATAACTAGAGAATGAATTGAACAAAAAATTTCATATAGCTTGTCAAATAAATTTGTAACCAGACTTGGTTTATTATTGTTTGTTTATTTTTGGCCTTGGAGTTAATTTCTATTATTGGTTGTTAGAGATACATCATAATTGTTAACCTTAATCATGTTTTGTGGAGCATAAGCAGCTCAAGCAATGTTGGGGCCTTTGAAATTTTTGAAGAGGTATTTTTGAAAATAATATAGTTTTTGTAATGAAATAAATAATATTGCCCTATATTGAAATATTCTCTAATTTGTTTTATTAAAAAAGAACAAAGCAATAGAAGTCCACGCAGAAAACCCAATGTAATAATAGTAAACTTTTCTAATAAAATTACGATGTTTTACTTCACCGGCATCTCCCCTGGAGAGTTTGCTGGGTGTTTGAAATCATGATCACGAGAGGAAGACCAATAGAAGGAGAACTTCCTATTAGAAGCATGAGTGGAACGGGTAAAAGTTTTACGATGAAGAGCTGGCTAAAATATTAAGTCTCTGTTTGGTTTCAATACTTAATTTTAATCACATATTTTATGAGATTCACAATTTTTTAATTATATATTTTATTAGTTTTTATCAAAATTTAAAATTTAATTTTAATTCCACAAGGACTAAATTAGTAAACTATCTTTATAAATAAGGTAAACAATTCATTGCAACGAACAAGAAATAACATAAGATTGCCAAAGCAAAATGACACCCCAAAAAAAAAATAATAACAACAACAACAACAACAATAATAATAAAGGTGGATACGGTGGCAATATAGAAATACACGAAATTGGTCTTGTTCTTGAAGATGATTGATATCATACAAAATTATGGAAAATTGAAAGGATTTATTTGCTTCATTTATTTTTTTTGTAGAGAATGATGAAATGACTCATTAGTAATAGTGTTGATTGATGATTTACTGGAATATGAAAAAAGTAATGTTATTTAATTTCACTGAGATTGTAACATGTGGTGTTAGGTGATAGACAAAATGAAATGTGGAATTAAATGATTCATTTAATCGTATTTATCATTTAACACTATGTTAGTGTCACATAAAATGGTTTGGTAGAGCTAAATAATATTACTCAAACGAAAATAACAAAAAACGAACATAGGAATGTCAATTCGATTTGTCGGCTTAAGCGGCCCATGACTCGACCCAAAAAAAGCCCGATATGACTAAGCTTGTGGCTCGTTGAATCTGAACCTCATTTTTTTAGTGTTGGCTTGAGCTCGAGTCAGCCTGTGTCAGCCATACCAACACAAGACATGGAAACCTTTAAAAAGATAGCTACACTACTGCCTTACATCGGAAAGGCCCAAGTTGAAATCTCGAGTCGAGTCCTAATTTTTTCGGTTGAACCTAGGCTTGTGCCAAAAAAGCTCAAAATGTTTTTACCCGAATCGTGCCCAAGCGTGAAATTCAACTTGTGAGATAACTCGGCTCGACTTGTTTATATCCCTAGACAAACATGAAAGTGGCAAGAAAATATCATTTACATGCTTCTCGAGAATTGCTTAAAATAGTCACTACAATAATGTATAGTAATTAATTTATTAGTTAGTATATTATATTACAATAATAAAAGGTCTATTGGGTTTGTAAGAATATTTTGGGATTGTGCAAAGAATTTTTTTCTAAGAATTGATGAAATGAGTTGACCTTCGAAAATGGCCAATTGGTGTTGTTAAAAGCCAATTGGTGTTGTTAAAAGACAATATACACGTGGACCCGTTTTGTAGTGTACTATAAATGAGCTTGAAGAAGGAGATAGTGACAATGTATTATGTTCTCTTTTCTATTCAGGGATCCATCTTTTAAACAATACAAGAATTGTCTATTTATAGTGGTTCGGCCGAAGTAGTTATTGTTGGATTGGATCCACGTGGCCAGATCTGCCGACCCTTTGTGTTATATCAACTCTATTCCATATGAATTACATTGATAAAATTTTGACAAAAGGTCAGCCACTCTACAAACCTACACTGACATCCCTGACAATCAATAAATGTGAACGTTACATCAATCAGTTCTGGAGAGGTCCCAACTAAACCTGCAAAGGACCTTGAATACTTTAGGAGTTCAGAAAGTAAACCACCTCGGAATGAAGGATAGGGCCACTTTGGCTATTCGCAGTAAAACAACCTTGGCACTCAATGTGACAGTTTCGGATATTGATTCCTTTTGCATGCTTGCCACGTTTCCAAATATGAGGACCTCCGCATTATAGTAATTTGTTCCAACCCAAAACATAAACAAAGACAAGGATAATCAGACTCACTAAAGGACTCGATGTAAAAATAAGGAATCTATTTTGACATGAAATGGATATATCCATTTATCTCTGACTCATATTTATGAGATGATAAAATATGGCAAAAGCTATACCGAGAATTGGTTCACATAGAAATGGACGTATTGGTTCACGTAAGAGTGCACGTAGAATACCAAAGGGGGTTATTCATGTTCAAGCAAGTTTCAATAATACCATTGTCACGGTTACAGATGTATGGGGTCGGGTGGTTTCTTGGTCCTTAGCGGGTACTTGTGGATTCAAGGGTACGAGAAGAGGGACACCCTTTGCCGCTCAAACTACACCAAAAAATGTTATTCGTACCACGTGGGTCATTTCATATAATTAGTAACAATTATCCCCCAAGTCTATGTACAATCATTCATGGGGTACATAGAGTTTATGATCCCTTGATCGACTTCGGACAAGGGAAGAAATCTGTAATGCTAGTCCCCCAAGTTCGCCAATCTGTTGACCTTCGAAAATGGCCAACAGATGTCATTAGAAGACAATATACACGTGGACCCGTTTTGTAGTGTTTCTACTGTAAATGAGTTTGTAGAAGAAGAAGAAGAAGATATAGACAATGTATTATGTACTCTTTTCTATTCAAGGATTCATCCTTTAAACAATATAAGAATTGTCTATTTATAGTGATCAGGCCAATATGATTATCGTTGGATTGGATCTACATGGCATGAACTGTCGACCCTTTGTGTCACATCAACTTTATTCTACATTAATTACATTGATAGACTTTTGACAATAGGTCGCCACTCTACAAACCTAGGCTGACATCGCTAACAATCAATAAATGTGCACGTTATATCAATCAGTTCTGGAGACGTCCCACCTAAATCTGTCAAGAAACTTAGACACTTCAGGAGTTCGACAGCAGAAGATAAAACCATCTTGGAATGAAGGATAGGGTCACTTCGGCTACTCGCAAAGATACAACATTGATGCTCAATGTGATAGCTTCGGATGTTGATCCTTTTTGCATGATTGCTACGTGTCCAAATATGAGGACCTCCACGTGGGTCATTTCGTATGATTAGTAACAATAGTCCCCCAAGTCTATGTACAATCATTCATGGGGTACATAGAGTTTACGATCCCTTTATCACTTTGGATAATGGAAGAAATCCATAATGCCAATCTCCCAACTCTGCCAATCTGTTGACCTTCGAAAATGGCCAATAGGTGCCGTTGGAAGACAGTATACATGTGGACCCGTTTTGTAGTGTTTCTACTGTAAATGAGTTTGTATAAGAAGAAGAAGAAGATATAGACAATGCATTATATTATCTTTTCTATTAAAGGATCAATACTTTAAACAATACAGGAATTATCTATTTATAGTGATTAGGCTGACGTGACTATCGTTGGATTATATCCACATGATCTGATCTGTCGACCCTTTGTTCACATCAACTCTATTCCACATTAATTATATTGATAGACTTTTGACAAGAGGTCAGACACACTACAAGGGAAGAAATCCATAATGCCAGTCTGCCAATCTGTTGACCTTAAAAAATGGATAATAGGTGTCGTTGGAAGACAGTATACACGTGGACCCGTTTTGTAGTGTTTCTACTGTAAATGAGTTTGTATAAGAAGAAGAAGATATAGACAATGTATTATATTCTCTTTTCTATTCAACGATCAATCATTTAAACAATACAGGAATTGTCTATTTATAGTGATTAGGCCGACGTGGCTATCGTTGGATTGGATCCACATGGTTTGATCAACTCTATTCCACATTAATTATATTAATAGACTTTTGACAAGAGGTCAGACACACTACAAACCTAGGCTAACATCACTAATAATAAATAAATGTGCACGTTATATCAATCAGTTATGGAGACGTCCCAGCTAAATCTGCTAAGGAACTCGGATAATTCAGGCGTTTGGCAACATAAAGTAAACCACCTCGGAATGAAGGATAGGACCACTTTGACTATTCGCAATGAAACAACAATGTGATAGCTTTGGATGTTGATTCCTTTTGCAAGCTTGCCACGTGTCCAAATATGAGGACCTCCACGTGGGTCATTTCGTATGATTAGTAACAATAGTTCCCCAAGTCTATGTACAATCATTCAAGGGTATGTAGAGTTTACGATCTCTTGATCGACTTCGGACAAGGGAAGAAATTCATAATGCTAGTCCCCCAAGTCCACCAATTTGTTGACCTTCGAAAATAGCCAACAGGTATCGTTAGAAGACAATAAACAAGTGGACCCATTTTGTAGTGTGTCTATTGTAAATGTGTTTGTATAAGAAGAAGAAGAAGATAGAGATAATGTATTATGTTCTCTTTTCTATTCAAAGATCCATCTTTTAAATAATACAAAAATTGTCTATTTATAGTGATTAGGTTGATGTGGTTGTTGTTGGATTGGATTCACGCGGCTTGATCTGTCGACTCTTTGTGTCACATCAACTCTATTTCACATTAATTATATTGATAGACTTTTGACAAAAGGTCAACACTCTACAAATCTAAGTTGACATCCCTGATAATAAATAAATGTGCACGTTACATCAATTAGTTCTGGAGACGTCCTAGCTAAATCTGTCAAGGACCTCGGATACTTCAGGAGTTCGGCAGCAGAAGGTAAACCACCTCGGAAGAAAGGATAGGGCCACTTCGACTATTCGCAGTGAAACAACCTTGATGCTCAGTGTGACAGATTCAGATATTAATCCCTTTTGCATGCTTGCCACGTATCCAAATATGAGGATCTCCA